TTTGTTTAATTACTTTTGTAGCTTCTGTTGTCTCTTCGTCTAATTACTTTTGTGGCTTCTGTTGTCTCTTTGTTTAATTACTTTTGTAGATACTGTTGTCTCTTCGTCTAATTACTTTTGTGGCTTCTGTTGTCTCTTTGTTTAATTACTTTTGTAACTTCTGTTGTCTCTTCGATTTATAATGACGTAAGGTGACGGTAATCCCCATTACATGTACGCTTGTTAATCTTGTTTCAGGGGAGTGGTGGTAGGTGGGGACCAGGAGCTGCTGGTTGAACCTACCCCTGGAGCCTCCAACCTCAAGGAACCTCACAGGATCCTGTCTGCCTCCCTCATCCCACACTCGTCTGGTGCCTGTGGTATACAGCCTTATTTTCAGTCTATACAATTATATACACTCCTGGTAGTGTATATACACTGACACTCCTGGCAGTGTATATATATATATATATATATATATATATATATATATATATATATATATATATATATATATATATATATATATATATATATATATATATATATATATATATATATATATATATATATATATATATAATTTCATCAAATCCTGTCAAATGCCGTAAACTTCGAAAATTATTTTAGAACGCTTAGCAATTTGCAGCTGTGCGAAATTCTTTACATACATTATCTCTCGGTCCATATATATATAATGTGGTCAATCTATCGTCGTTGAAGAAGGTTGGTGGATGGATCGCATGATTACATCTCCACTTCTGTCTTTTATTTGTACCAAAAATTGGACCTAAAACGTCGTCATAAGAGCTAGGATAATACACCAGTACACCGCTGTTTTTCTTTCTGGTCAGAAGAAAGACCAGTCCTTGTAAGTCATCGCCATTTGAAATAATTTTTGGCCCAGTAGGAGCCAGAAATGAAAATTGCGGCAGTAAATGATATAGCCACAATTCCCTCTAACCATATCAGTTCACGAGCATCAGAAAGAACTGTACACTCTGAGTTATTAAATGGTTATTCACCTCCTCAGGAGTGAAGGACGGAAACATGAGAGGCCCGAGAGAATTCCTAGGAACCAGAAGACTAAATAAGACGAGCGAGGATTCAAGAACTAGAGAGAACAAAAGCAGTACCTGGGATACCACACAGAATACCAGGAGTGACTCACAACGGGTAAGGAGATCTATTCTTTCGTTACCCAAAGGTTGACTGGTCAGTGTTGGCGCCACAATGAATGGAGAGTTGACTGAGCCTCCACCATGCTGTAATATTGATGGAAACAGGTTTTGTGCTTCATAAACCACAGTGCAGTATCCATTACTTCTCTACGTCCCGTTTGTTTACACTCTCCTCCTCTGCCTCACCCTTCTGATTCTGTAGGTCCTCCTCTTCCATCTCCTCCTTCCACTTCTCTCCGTGGTGTTCTCATTTGTGTGGTTCTCTACAGGTTCGTCGGGAGGCGCTGCGTGGTTCAGGAGAGCTGTGGGGAGCTGCTGCTACACGCTTCGTAGAGCTCGTGTTAGTAGCTGACCACAGCTACTACACCGTGCATGGAAGCAACACCCACGCCCGCTGTCGCACCATAGTCAACATCGTGAACGCGGTGAGATGATGCTAGTAGTGATAGTAGCAGTACTGGTAGCAGTAGTGGTAGCAGTAGTGGTGGTAGCAGTAGTGGTGGTAGCAGTAGTGGTAGCAGTAGTGGTAGCAGTAGTGGTGGTAGCAGTCGTGTTGGTAGCAGTAGTGGTGGTAGCAGTAGTGGTGGTAGCATTAGTGATAGCAGTAGTGGTGGTAGCAGTAGTGGTGGTAGCAGTCGTGGTGGTAGCAGTAATGGTAGCAATACTGCTAATCGTCTCTTTCCCAATCTTCTAATCACTAGTCACAATCCAAAATTTCTCGCTCCAATTATCTAACTGACCTAAGTCGACCCTGCTCAATGGATGCTATTTTTATATCATTTCCTTAGATTGAAAACAAAAAAAAGGATTACCTCTCATTCCCCTAGGCTCTGTATGACTCCTACGGGCCTAGTGCTTCCCCCACGAATGCAATATTTGTCTTTAATGGTGTATTAAAGTGTTAAGACCAAGCCTCAGAGTGTTCCAGCATCCGTGTGTGTTAGACTCGGATACATCATCATTTTTCTATGATTATATGCAGAATCCCAGCATCTATTGACTTCCAGCACCTAGGTTTCTTTTTATGTGCGGGTTATTTGTGTATTGTTCCAGTCACGGTACTGTACCTCTTTATTCTTCCAGCACTTACCAGTTACCCGCACTTACCGATTTCCAGCACTTCGCTGACTTCACGAAAATTCGTTCACCTAAATCTATACTTCGTTGATAAAGATCCTTAATAACATTTCCTCTCTGTATCCTCCTACAGCTGTACCGTCCCCTAGGGGTGGTGGTGGTGCTGGTACACCTGGAGGTGCTGACCTCCAGGGGTCAGATAGAGGTGACCTCAGACTTCAAGAAGAGCCTGGATGAGCTCCGCACCTACAGACACCGCTTCCTGCAGGAGAGGCCAGACTTACCCAATGATAACACTGTCCTCCTGACGTGAGTGTCTCCTTCCCCCCCCCCCCACCCCCGGGAGAAGTCAAATTTTGACACCAAGGACTGAAATAATAATAATAATAATAATAATAATAATAATAATAATAATAATTATTATTATTATTATTATATTATTATTATTATATTATTTTATTATTATTATTATATAGAATGATAGTTATTGTTGTTATTATTATTATAATAATTATTATAGTAATAATAATTATTATAATAACAATAAATAACACTATATTATTAGTGATCATATTAGTATTAAAATTATTAATAAAATATTTATAATTATAGAAGCAATATTATTAATAGTTCTCCATAACTTACGATATTTATCTTCATGTTTATCTCGATTCACAACAGCACGGTGGACTTTGAAGGACAAACAGTGGGATACGCCTCTGTGTCTGGCATGTGCAGGTGGGTGTGGCTGCTCTCTCTCTCTCTCTCTCTCTCTCTCTCTCTCTCTCTCTCTCTCTCTCTCTCTCTCTCTCCTCTCTCTCTCTCTCTCTCTCTCTTTTTCTCTATTTTCCTACTCATTTCTGCAACATTGCAAGCTCCTGATGATGTGTTGATTGCAACACGAAAGGCCTAGAGCTGTGTTCGCATCTTGTATTACTGTGTTATGCATCTTGTATCACTTGTTCGCAATTACTGAATATATATATATATATATATATATAATAATATATATATATATATATTATATATATATATTATATATATAATATATATATATATATATATATATATATATATATATATATATATATATATATATACTTATTTTATTTTCCTTGCACGGTCTACACTACATCTACAACAACGACACTGTGTCTACATGGCACTGCATGTACATGGCACTGCGTCTACATGGCACTGCGTCTACAGCAAGAAGAACTCCGTGGCAGTGGTTGAGGACAAACAGAGTCACGAGGGCATTGTGGCCCAGACGGTCGCCCACGAGATGGGTCATAACCTGGGCATGAACCATGATGATGACGGTGCCAAGGAGTGCCACTGCCAGAGTCGTAAGTGCCTGATGAGCTCCAGCGGCAGGTGAGTGATGGGGGTGCCACTCTTGTATTGCACTAAAGAGTGGCACTCTTGTGTTGCACTAACGAGTGCCACTTTTGATAGTAACTCAAGAGTGCCTCGCTAATTATAGCAATAGGTGAGTGGGTGGCACTCTTGTCTAGTTATATACTGCACTTGAGAGTGGCACTCTTGCTTGTTCTCTTCAAGAGTGCCACTTTTATACTGCACTTGAAAGTGGCACTTTTGTTCGTTCCTTTCAAGAGTGCCAGTGTTATACAGGCACTCTTGGAATAGCACTCTTGTTCGACAGGCACTTCAACTTAGAATGCTTTAACGCTGGCGAAGGGGCTCTTGATCCAGTGAAGTGAAATTTACTCTCCCCTTCCTCGGCTCACGCACTGGTTACCCCTACGGGTTGGACGCCTCTCAGAGCGGAAGCAAACATTTACGTTACTCTCGCCGGAGGAGCGCAAAACCCGTAGGGAAGGGTCACACGCACACACAGCACCTGAGGCAAAGAGAGGTAGTCAGGCTTGATCCAAGGAAAGGGAGAGAGAGTGTGGGGGGTAGCTCCAAGTGCTTGGATCGAGAGACCTCTACTAGCATTGAAAGGCATCTTTCTTCAGTGGTTCTATTTACGCTCTCTCTCTCTCTCTCTCTCTCTCTCTCTCTCTCTCTCTCTCTCTCTCTCTCTCTCTCTCTCTCTCTCTCTCTCTCTCTCTCTCTCTCTCTCTCTCTCTTCTCTCATCAAGCACATAACACTCAACAACACTGGAAGTGAGACATATGTGAAGAGGCGGGGCCAGGAGCTGTGGCTCTACCCCTGCAACCACAACTAGGTGAATACATTAACATCCTAATCCTCATCTGCAGTGCGACTTACCGAGAAGAGACCAGCTGGAGCTCCTGCAGCAGAGAGTCGCTGGCCACCGGGATCCAATCCGGCTACTTCGACTGCCTGAAGAATGTGCCGACGAAGCTGGTGTCGGGGGCTAGCTGCGGGGACGGGGTGGTGGACGTGTACGCTGGAGAGCAGTGTGACTGCGGTCCCCATAAGTTCTGTGACAACCCCTGCTGCGTCCCTACCACCTGTAGGCTAGCAGTTAATGCCTCCTGCGCCTCTGGGTCCTGCTGTGACACTCAGGTGAGAGCGAGCGAGAGAGAGATGTTAGGTAACAGCTCTTATCTTGTAAATAAAATTAGGTACCCTTAACCAAACCTTGTAAAACCTTTGTGTAAAGAGAGAGAGAGAGAGAGAGAAAAGACCCCGGCGCTCTATCCTTAATTCTATCAAAGGTTCGGCATATTTAATATAGAAAGGCTTACAACAAAAGGAACTTGAAGGAAACAAAGTGGATTATTATTATTATAATCAAGGGGGAAGCGCTAAACCCGTAGGATTATACAGCAAAAACAAAAATGGAACAAGGGGAAAATTTACGGAAACTGTGTGGGACAAAGGTGAAATTTATATATAATATTAATATATATATATATTTATATAAATTTATATATATATATATATTATATAAATATATATTATATATATTATATATATGTATTATATTTATATATATATAATAAAATATATATATATTTAAAATTTTATATATATATATATATTTATATATATTATTTTATATATATATATTCTTTAACCACGATGCTAAACTTTTTTTTTTTTTTTTTTTTTTTTTTTTTTTTTTTTTTCGCTTTCTACAGAAGGTAGCTGAAGAGTGGGTCAAAATGCAGGGGGGCGAGGGGTGAGTGGCCCCGCCAAATACGCAAGGGGGACTCAAGGGATGCCCGAGAGTACTCAAGGGTGACGGAACGTTGTGGGGAGGGAAGGAAAATTGCACGCCCAAAGGGTTTTAAATTTTTTCTCAGTTTTCAAAAGATCTATCAGTGATTCTTCCCTGATGAAGTCAGGGTTGTCATTTTTGAACCCCTTACCCCACTTGCCCGAGGTATCCCCCGAAGTGAGACGTCTCCCTGGTTTTTCCCCTGTTAACGAAAAGGGAATGCTATGGAGGTAAAATAAGAATGAAAATGGCTTAGTTTACTCATAAAAAAGGGGTAGAGTACAACATATCCGATGGACTTTACATAAATAACAATTTACCATGAGACTTATTACCGGGGGAAAGGTAGTTTTTGTCAGTAACACGGGTAGTACTCACTCTTTAATTTCCCGACCCCCTGACCCAAGATTCCAAATGCGTGGTCCACTGCACACGCGGGGTGTTTCCCCGCCTGTCCCCACTTCCCACCAACAACCCCCCTTTCTCATGTTCCCTGGGCTTATATGATATCCCAAAACCCCCCCCCCCCCCCACAAAGAAGGTGTGAGTGGTTTGATCTGACGCCGGGTTTTTAGCCCTCCGAAAAAAAGACCTCAGTCTTAAGCAGAAAAGGCGTGGTGACAGAGTTTGCCAAGGGAAGGTGTGACCCTAAATTTTTTAAAATTAGGTTCCCCAGAGATCACAAACCGCTGAATACATCAAACCCTTCAGGGAGACCAAACAGAATACTCAGGTTTACCCTAGTTGAACCCGGGGTGTCCAGCGGGGGAACCCTTTTTGTCCAGTTTTACTGAACCCTCCTGTGCCCCAGACTGACGAAACCCCTGTGCCCTAACTGATAACCCCCAGTGTGTGTCCAACTATGAACACTCAGTGTGTTTCCCAGATGACTGAACCTCCTGTGCCCAGACTGATGAACCCTCAGTGTTGCCTAGACTGACTGAACCCTCAGTGTGCCCTAGACGACGAACCCCATGTACCCCAGACACTGAACCCTCAGTGTGTGTCCCAGATGACTAACCCCCTGTGCCCCAGACTGACTGAACCCTCAGTGTACCCCAGACTGACTGAACCCTCAGTGACCTAGACTGACTTAACCCTAAAGGGCCCTAGACTTAAAGACCCCTCATGTACCCTAATGACTGAACCCCCCGTGCGTTCCCCGACTGATGAAACACTCAGTGTGTATCCTAGAGATGAACCCCACGTGTCCCAACGACGAACCTCAGTTGTGCCCAGACTGATGAACCCCCTGTTTGTCCCGGGCTGACTGAACCCTCATGTGTCCTAACGCTGAAACCCCCGGTGTGCCTAGACTGCTAAAACCCCAGTGTACCCTAGTGATGAAACCCCCGTGGTTTCCCCAGACTGACTGAACCCCTTTATGTGCCCTAACTGACTGAACCCTCAGTGTACCCTAACGACTGACCCCCCAGTGTACCTAATGACTTAAACCCAGTGTCCCTAGACTGACTGAACCCTCATGTGCCCTAGACGACGAATTCTATGTAACCCCAGTTTACTGAACCCCCCAGTGTGCCCCACTGACTGACCCTCAGTGCCCCAAACTGACTGAACCTCAGTTCCCTAGATGACTGAATCAGGTGCCCCAGACGACTGAACCCTCATGTGCCCCGACTGACGAACCCCCAGTGTCCCTAATGACTGAACCCCGGTGCCCTAGACTGACTAACCCTCAGTGTACCCTAGCTGACTGAACCCCCAGTTGCCCCAGACTGATGAACCCTCATACCCTAGATGACTGAACCCTCAGTGCCCCCGACTGATGAACCCTCATGTCCCTGCTGATGAACCCCCAGGAACCCAGATGACTGAAACCCCCGTTACCCCGACTGACTGAACCCTCAGTGTACCTGATGACTGAACCCTCGTGCCCCAGCTGATGAACCCCCCAGTGTCCCTAGACTGACTAACCCCCGGTGCCCTAGCTGACTGAAAACCCCAGTGTACCCTACAATGAGAACCCTCAGTAGCCCTAACGACTGAACCCCCATGTGCCCTAGACTGACTGAAAACCCCGTGTGTAGCTGACTGAACCCTGTGTGCCCCAACTGACTGAAAACCCCAGTACCCTAGACGATGAACCCTCGTCCCTAGATGACTGAACCCCCAGTGTACCCCAATGACTGAACCCTCAGTTATAGATGACTGAACCCTCAGTGTACCCCCAACTTTGAAACCCCCCAGTGTACCCCAGACTGCGAACCCTCAGTGCCCTAACTGACTGAATCTCATGTACCCCAGACGACTGAACCCCCAGTGTGCCCCAGACTGCTGAAACCCTCATGTACCCCACAAGACTGAAACCCCCAGTGGCCCCAGACTGACTGAACCCTCATGTGCCCAGACTGACGAACCCCAGTGTGCCCCAACTGACTGAACCCTCAGTGTGCCCTAGATGACTAACCCTCAGTGTGCCCTAGACTGCTGAACCCCCAGTGTGCCCTAGACGACTGAAACCCAGTTACCCTAGACTGACGAAAACCCCCGGTTTACCCAACTGACTGAACCCTCAGTGTACCCCAAATGACTGAACCCTCCCAAATGTACCTAGACTGACTGAAAACCTATGTGCCCTAGACTGACGAACCCCCAGTGATACAAGACTGAACCCCAGTGTGCCCTAGACTGACTGAAAACCCCCAGTGTGCCAGACTGAACTGAACCCCTCAGTGTGCCCAGCAGTGAACCCTCATGACCCCAGACTTCTGAACCCTCAGTTACCCCAACTGACTGAACCCTCAGTGTGCCCTAATGACGAACCCCCAGGTACCCCGAGACTGAACCCCAGGGCCCCGACGACGAACCCTCGGGTTTTCCCAGACTATGAACCCTCAGTACCCAGAGACGAACCCCCCGTGTTCCTAACTGATGAACCCCAAAAGTACCCTGATAAATGAACCCCTCATGTACCCCCGAAAGGGGCTGAACCCTCATGTACCCCAAGACGACTGAACCCCAGTGTAAAACCCCAGACTGATGAAACCCCCGTGTACCCTAGACTGTGAACCCTCGTGTACCCCAGACTGCCGAACCCCATTACCCTAGACGCTGAACCCCCCATGTGCCCTAGACTGATGAACCCCCAGTGTACCCCAGACTGACTGAACCCCCAGTTACCCCAGACACTGAAACCCCGTGTACCCAGACGACTGAACCCCCAAAAGGCCCCGACTGACCCGAAACCCCCATTTTCCCCAGACTCTAACCCTCATGTACCCAGAACCCGACTGAACCCTCATGTACCCTAGATGATGAAAAACCCTTTAGTTGCCCCAGACTGACTGAACCCTCAGTGTGCCCTAGAAGACTGAAACCCTCGTGTTTGGGAAACCCCCAGTGGCCCTAAAGACTGCCCCCCGGAACCCATTGCCCTAGATGAGACCCCGTTTACCCCCCTGATGGGGGTGCCCCCAGACTGCGAACCCCAGTGTCCCTAGACCGATAAACCCCTCTTGTTGTTGACTGGAACCCTCATGTGCCCAGACTCCCGGGAAACCCCCAGGTCCCTAACTGATGAACCCTAGTGTGCCCTAGATGGGCTGAACCCCCATGACCCTGACTACGAACCCCAGGTCCCCAGACTGACTGAACCCTCGTGTACCCTAGACGAAAGAACCCTCATTGGGCCCAGACTGACTGAACCCTCAGTGTCCCTGACTGACTGAACCCTCGTGTACCCCAACTGATGAACCCTCAGTGTTTCCCTAGATGATGAACCCTAGTGTACCCTAACTGATGAACCCCCAGTTAACCCTAACTGACTGAACCCCCCCGGGGGGCCCAGATGCTGAACCCCCCCCATGTACCCTAGACGACTGAACCCCCAGTGTTTCCCTAGACGACTGAACCCCAGTGTACCCTGACTGACTGAACCCTCATGGGGGCCCTAGACTGACTGAACCCTCAGGGGTACCCTAACTGACAACCCCCAGTTTAACCCAACAGAAACCCCCGTGTCCCCTAGACTGACTGAACCCCCCGTGTACCCTAGGGGCTGACTGAAAAACCCCATGTCCCTAGATAAAATGAAAACCCCCAGTGACCCTAGATGACTGAACCCCTGGCCCCCCAGACTGACGAACCCTCCCCCGGGGGGCCCCAGACTGACTGAAACCCCAAAAAAAAATGAAAACGAACCCTCATGTCCCTAGACTGATGAAAAAAACCCCGGGGTTTCCCCCAACTGCTGAAACCCTTTAGGTCCCTAGACTGACTGAACCCTCAGTGTCCAGACTGACTGAACCCTCATTTTACCCCCCAGATGACTGAACCCCCCCATGTACCCAAAAACTACTGAAAACCCTCAGTTACCCCAAGACTGCCCTCGTGTATAAAAAAATTTAACCTCAGTGTCCCCCAACTGAAGAAACCCCCAGTGACCCTAGACTGACGAACCCCCAGTGTCCCCCCGACTGACTGAACCCTCAGTGTACCTAGATGACTGAACCCAACCCAACAAAAACCCCAGTGTACCCTAGACTGACTTTAACCCTCAGTGTCCCCTAGACTGACTGAACCCCCCCCCGGTCCTAGACGACGAACCCTCGTGTCCCTAGCCCTGACTGAACCCCCGGTACCCTA